TCAAAAATATTAGAAAGAATAATGTATAATAGAATTTACACTTATCTTATTGATAATAAACTCCTTTATAAAAATCAATTTGGTTTTCAGAGAAACAGTTCTACTAAACACGCTATTCTCCAAGTAACACGCAGTATTACCGAATTCTCAATTCACACTAGGCATATTTATTGACTTGTCAAAAGCTTTTGATACTGTTAATCATCATATTTTAATAAAAAAGCTAGAGAGCTATGGTATAAAAGATAAAACCCTAAATTGGTTCAAAAGCTATCTAAGTAACCGCAAACAATTTGTTTATAACAAAGAATCTTCATCGCAAATAATAAAAAATATAACATGCGGTGTCCCCCAAGGGTCCATACTTGGACCACTATTATTTCTATTATACATAAATGATCTTTACAAAGCTTCTACCCTAACGACCGTAAATTTTGCAGATGATACGAATTTATTTCAGTCGCACGAAAACATAGAAACACTTTTTAATAATATGAATAATGAATTAAAAAAAATATCATATTGGTTTAGAAAAAATAAATTGTCCTTGAATACGGATAAAACAAAATTTATACTTTTTCATCCAACCTCTAAAAAAAAGAGAAACCAAAATATCTTACCTGACCTATTCATTCACAATACAATCATAAAAAGAGAAATATTTACAAAATTTTTAGGAGTCATAATAAATGAAAACTTATCTTGGAGTCAGCAAATTGATAGTATTTCAATGAAAGTTGCTAAAAACATTGGAGTTCTATACAAAGCTCGATATATACTAAATAAAAAGCAACTAACTCAACTATATTATTCATTTATTCATTGCCATATAAACTATGCCAATATTATATGGGGAAGCGCTCACAAAACCAAACTTAAATCTCTCTATCGGCATCAGAAACACGCAGCTCGCATAATTAATTTTGGAAACCGTTTTTCAAGCTCAACACCACTTCTTATAGAAATGAAAGCTTTAAATATATACGAACTAAATATTTTTGATATTTTATGTTTTATGTTTAAATGTAAAGAAAATTTATCTCCAAGTGTATTTATAAATCTCTATAATTTGAAACCAAAAAACAAATATGAACTTCGTGATAGTAAAAATATTCAAGAGCCGTTTTGCAAAACAAAAATTGACCAGTTTTGTATTTCTTATCGTGGTCCATTTCTTTGGAATAAAATAGTTTTACCTAACTTTGATTTTTCTTTTAAATGGTCTTATTCCTCCTTTAAAAAGAAAACAAAAGAAATAATCTTTTCAACACAAAATATATTTATTTATTTTTAGTATTTCAAGTTATTTGATATTTTTGTCGACTGTGTGATGAATATTATTTAAACAATATATGCTGAATACTTTATATTATAATATTGTTCAATATTGAGAATGTTATATATCCATATTATAAAATATTATGTTAAAACTTGCTTAACATCTGAAGAATATTCTAACGCTTATGTAATTTTTAATATTTGTAAATTTTCTACCTTTTAATTCGTTATATAGATTGTAAAGGGCTTCATGATAAGATCATGTGATCTTCTGGAAGTCCTACCAGTAATACATTCAATGTAAATTTACCTTGTTCATATTTTTCTGGAAGAAAAAAAAAAAAAAAATTCATCACAGCATGCTCAGTGCAATGATTTCTCCGAAATCCAAACTGTTTAGGATATAAAATATTGTTTTTATCAATGAAGTTATATATTCTATTATACATAATACGTTCGAGAACCTTTGAAATACAGGAGAGAATTGAGATGGGTCTGTAGTTTGATTCTAAAGAATCGTCGCCCTTTTTATATATTGGAATTATTTTAGCAAGTTTTAATTGGAAATCAGGAAAGTCCCCGTTTTTTAATGAAAGTTTAAAAATAATGAAAAGAGGCAATTCGATAATGTCAAAGACACTTTTAAAAACATTTGCATTAATTTCATCAAGACCTGCACTTTTATTTGTTTGAAGCTTGTCAAAAGCTGAACGAAGTTCATCAATGGAAAGTTCCGAATTGTCCATAATTAAATCTGATTTTTTCAAAAAAGACTGGAATGTTTTGCTACTTGGAGAGATTTTTTTGGCTAAATTTTTCCCAACGTTTATAAAAAAATTATTCAGTCTCTCAGCAATTGCTTTTTTATTAAAAATTTCACCTTTATCGGTTTTCAGTCGATTAGGGAGGTTGCTAGATGTAATTTTTGTTTTCCCTATTATATCTTTAATTATAGTCCAAGTTTTTTTTAGCATTTCCAAATGATTTCTGAAGTAGACCAGAATAGAAGTCTTTTTTAGATTGCTTTTTTATTTTTTCGAAATAGTTTTTGTATTTTTTATATTTAGTTTCGTTTTCATAATTTTTGTTTTTTAATTTTTCGTAAAGCTTTTTTTTTTTTGATGATTTCAAAAGACCTTTAGTCATCCACACGGTATGCAAACTTTTGGATTTTATATATTTTTCGAACTTTAGGAAAAGCTTTATCATATTGCCTTGTAAAGACGCGAATAAAGAAATCGTATGCGCTACATGTGTCATTGCAATCATTCAAAAGCTCTCAATTGATTTCACGCAAAAGCTGTCTAAAAACTGTAATCGAGTCTTTGTTTACATGCCTTATGTATACTGTTATGGGTTTTTTATTTATACAGCATTTAGTATTTGTTGTTAAAAAAACAGGAAAATGATCACTAATATCCGTTTTTATTATACCACTGTTGATTGTCGAGTTACTATAATTATTAGTGATAATATTGTCAATAATAGATGATGTTTTTCGAGTTACACGCGTCGGCTTGTTAATCATGGGGTAAGCACTAAATTGAGAAAGAGTATTTATAAAACTTTTAACGTGGTTATCAGTGTTTAAATTTATCAAGTTTAAATTAAAGTCTTCGAGTAAATATAAATGTTTTTTAGAGGTTTGAATTAATATTCGCCTTAAGTCAATTTCAAATTGATTGTAACTGCCATGGGGTGGTCGATATAAAACTGTTATAAACGAATTTTTTTCTTTTTGGTTTATTATCTCTATAGTTAATGATTCGCAATTCGAGTTATTCGCACTTAGACTATCTACTATTTTATACGTCAACGAGTTGTGAATAAATATGCATACGCCTCCGCCAATACCGTTTTTTCTCGGTTGGTGAACAGAATTGTTAAATGCAAATTAGAGTTACTCATATCTTCACTCTGACACCAGGTTTCAGTAAGACAGATTATACTGAATTTAATACTTATTTAGCATTAATTTTAGATTTTTAAAGTTTTTGCTCATGCTTCTAATATTTATATTTAGTAATGACATGTAATGTAGTGATTTATTTAAAATACTTGTAACCTCATGAACTTTAAAATAGTTAGTTTCTAAGGAAAAATTGTCAAGATTGTTTACGTCAGGATTTTTAATGTTTAATTTATTATTTTTAATGTTTAATTTATTATTATTTTAAATGTTTTTTAAAAAGTGACATACGTTTTCACCAGAAAATGTATTAAAAAATTGGTGGAAGAATTGCTATTTCAGTACATTTTTACGCTCATTAACACAAATAAAACACTCTCATTTCCATTACAATAGTGTAAAAACAATATTGTATATAAGCACAACAATAATAATGCAAAACATAATTAATTTTTATTGGCTTATTTTTTTTAGAAAGCTTTCTTTTCTACTTAGGTTTAGCGTTGAATAAAAATCGTTTTTGAATCTGTTTTTTCACTAGATTTTTTCTGCAATAAAAACATAATATATTAGGCAGATCAGGGTTTTCAACAGAGTAGTTTTCCCAAAAAAATCACTTAATAGGATTTTCATAATTTATTTCTTGCTTTGGTTTAATGCATGTGTAATGTTTAATGAATCTGGTTTAATGCATTTGGTTTGAATGCATCTTTACCCAAGAAAAAAAGTTCTATAGAATTTTTTATAAACTTTTGAAACATATAGCTTAGAGAAATTCTATAGAATGTTTATTAATTTCTATAGAAATTGCTATAAAACTTTTTTTCTACAGAAAAGAAAAGGAAAAAGAAATTTCTATAGAAATTAACTGAGATTCTATAAAAATTTTATAGAAATTCTATAGGCCATATGTTTCAAAAGTTTATAGAAAATTCTATAGAACTTTTTTTTCTGGGAAATCATAATTTTTTTTATACAGCATGTGCAAAAGCATTTTTAAAAATCGTATTGATCTTAGCAAAGTACGACATTTCTTTTTTATTTTCGAGAAATGGTTTCTATATTTTTGAATCGGCTTTTAAATTTAAGTTAATATAAATTATTTAAATAATCAAATAAACTTGCTGTTATTGCTTAATTGTTGTTTAAGTCTTTTAAAACAGATAAATATTGTTAAAGTCTTTTAAAACAACAACAACTATAACCCAATCGGAAATTAATAAATATTATTATAGCCAATCGCGCTGTTGCAATTACAGAAAGTAAACAACTATAATGGCTGACGGAAAAAAAAATTATTTTAATACGAAAATATCGTTATTTATAAAACTTCCTAATAAGTTTTTTCAAAAAGCTACCAACAAATGATTTAAATTTTGATAGTTTCAGAATGTACAAATTTAATATATTCAAAATCAAAAAAAAATTTTCATGGGACTTGATATAAGGTCTTAGGTCACCTTCAGGGTACCCGTGTCTAAATTACTTTTTTCCTTTAGATTGCGCGTGAATGATGAAATTCCATTCGATTAGGAACAAAATACGTTAAAAACTTTTCGCACTAGATTGGGAAAATAAAACTAATTTACAAATTTTTTAATAAAAACAATTTTGCTCCAGACAAATTTTTTGTTCCCTTTCTTAAGCATCAAAAAAACCTAAAACGTTTCTTGTACAAACAAAATAGAATCGCGAATCGATAAAAAATAACAGCATTTAAAAGTAAAATTTGATCTAATAGATACATAATAAATATAAAACTAATCAAAAATAAAAAAGATTATTAATATATTCAACAAAAAATAATACTAAATATACTTATAACTTATTTACAAACTTAATAAAACCTTTATACATTATATTAAAAACCATCATTAATTACACAGTTGCTTTCTTTATGTATAACTTCATACATTCATTACTTACTAAAATTCATTATATTTTATCTAAACTTTTATAAAACTTTATCTACATACATTTTTATAGACATAAAACATTTATAAAAATTGCTTATTTTAAAAACATATTACCCACGACCCTCGGTCGTCAATATTTGTCACCAAAATTATTTTATTTTACATTTATTTTTTTCTAAATCAAAGTTCAATGATGTATAGTATGCCTGAGAATATGCAAATATTATGTTGATGATAATTTTTTAAACCACCTCAATTTTCATATTATTTATGAAATGCAATGAAAAAACATTTATATTCAAAATATAATTTAAGAAATATATTTATAAACATTTAGAAATTTAAATGATAATATTTGCTTATATATCTAAAACTTGTTTGGCATAAATTTTACTTAAATACTTCACTAATTTAAAACAAATTTAATTTGAAAATTGATTCAATTTGATCACCGATTCAATTTAAATCATATAGCTGATTAAGTTGCAAAATGCATTGAACACAGCCATCATTTGCTATAAAATCATACATAAAAATATTTACCCCCTTCATTTTTGAAGTGTAAACCTTATCTAACCAATTTGTAATAGGCGTTTTTAATTTTTCATCAAGTTTTGAAAGTTTGCGCGGAGAACAACAACAACAAAAGAATCCTTTAAGAATATCATTTGTTTGTGGAGTAAGAATGGCTTGAAAGACACTTAGTTGTTTTGGAGAATATTCATTTAGTCTTTCATCTAGAAATTTTATTAGCTTGCTAGTTGAGCTTGTATTTCTCCACGGTGAATATAAAGTATTAGAAGCCCAAAATTCTGGATAGCTTTGTGGTGAAAACTCATTGTTGTACCTGACAATTATCTGTTTACCTGTTGCCCAAATTTCTTGTAAAGTAGAAGATGCCCCATTACCGTCAACGTATGAATAAAGCTTTCCTTTGAAAATTTTCACAACATTATCAGCAAATATTTCGTGTAGCTTTGGCGTAAATTCATGAAACTCTTGAAAATCAACAATTACAACTTCTTTTGGGTAAATTTCGCAAAAGTCGGCAATAACTTGAAGTAAAGAGAACATTTGAAATCCATAGCAACCATGTACAAAAAAAAAGTCATTTTCAGAGTTTAAATATCCTGTTCGCATATCAAAATAGCGAACTCCTAATAATAATTGTTGTTTTATTGGACAACATTGAGTTAATGACCAACCTATGACTGTGCTCTTGAAATATTTTCCTAGTGCTTTAATTGCCGAAGGTTCATCTAAATACAATTAACTTCAAATTAACAGCAATATTAAACAAACTAATTCATGAAAAAATTGTTACATATCTTCAGACTAAACAGACTTAAGAAAACCTTATGGCAAAATGTGTCGAATTATGAACCCAGATTTCAAGTTTTTTTTAATGTTTTTTTAACAGCTAAAAAAACTTTTGATTCTAAAAAAACTTAAAAAAAAGAGAAACAATAATTCAAAATACTAATTAAAAAAAATATTTAATAATTAATTAAAATAAAATTTAAATTAATAATTAATTAAATTAATAATTAATTAAAAAAATTAATAATTAATTAAAAAAATTAATAATTAATTAAAAAAATTATTAATTAATTAAAAAAATTAATAATTAATTAAAATAAAAATTAAATAAAATAATTAATTTAAAAAAATAAATAAAAAATAAAAAAAATAAAAGAAATAATTCAAAAAACTAATTAAAAAAAAATATTTTGCCTTAATGAAAACAAACATTATTAAAGTAAAGTAAAAATTTGTTAGTCTCCAAAAAAACTCTTTTCAGTCAAGCATAAAAGTTTTCTGCATAACCGTGTGCTTACTCGAACATCATTCATTGTTTATATTTTTTCAATAAATTTATCAGTAGAGATTTTATAATGCAGGAATAAGATAAGAAGTATTAATCAGTAATAATGTATTATTAAAATCTTTAATAGTTAAATATAAACATTTTAATTAGCATTTACGAAATCCAATTTTTACAAATAGCACATAAAAATTAAACTGTTTACTAGAAAAGCAGCTTTATGGTCTTTTCCACCCCACAAAAAAAAAAAAAAAAAAAAAAAAAAAAAGATACAAACAAAGAGAGCGATTAAAATTTTTAATTAATATTAATAATTTTTCTTCTGACTGTAACAATTATAGTTACTATAGTTACACAAGTATAGTTACTATATATATATATATATATATATATATATATATATATATATATATATATATATATATATATATATATATATATATATATATATATATATTACTATTATTGCAACAATTATTATAACTACTAATTATTAACCAATACTTTTATATAAATACAAAAAGATGATTATATATATATATATATATATATATATATATATATATATATATATATATATATATATATATATATATATATATATATATATATATATATTACTATTATTGCAACAATTATTATAACTACTAATTATTAACCAATACTTTTATATAAATACAAAAAGATGATTATATATATATATATATATATATATATATATATATATATATATATATATATATATATATATATATATATATATATATATATATATATATATATATATATATATATATATATATATCAGTGTGTTATCTAGGAATAAATTTGATACAGCATTTTGACGAAATTGGGATTTTGTCAAAAAAATTCCCAAATATACTACCCCCTCCCCTGAGATTAAAACGTGTATTAGAAATGTGTGGGGCCCTTTTCTTATATATTTCTTCTTCTAATCCACTTTAGCACTGCATAGACTGAATGGACAGCGCCAAAAATAAAACAAAATACCATCTGTAACATTTATTGAAGATTTTGTGAACGTTGTGAACCACATTTATTAAATGTGGTTTCACAACGACAAGGCAAATTATGGTCCGATTTCCAAAGATATATTCACAATTATATATTTTTATATTTTAAAATAATCAGTGTGTATTAATTAATTATTATTAAGAATAATATATACGATTTACTTTTAATCTTAATATATAGTTGCTTCTTTCATGATAAGAGTACTCTTTTGAATATATATTTTTTTCTAGAACCAGTTAGTTATAATCAAAAAACATTTATTTAACCTATCTAACTTTTCAGGCAAAAAGGGGGAAACTTTTAAAGAAATAGCATTTGTGGGTGTTAAACCAAACAAATTTGTAATTTTTTAAATTGTACTTTATTTCTTGCTAACTTTTTTTAATAATATTTGCTGTTGTTGGAAAGCATTGCAAAAAATTATTTGCAAATTTTAAGAAATTAATTTTTTTTTCGAGCAATATAAGGGATTTTCAGAAAATCCCAATTCTCATAAAATTCTTTTCCAAGAGATATTTTTGCAGTTATGCAAGCATGCAGTTATTACCAATAACAGCAATTTTATTTCAAGTTTTAAACAATAAATTATAATTTTTTATGTTACATGTTATTCTTTTATTAGTTTTTAATAGTAATTAATTTTCAATAATTTTTAGAATTATTATTAAACTTCGTTTTCGCAAACTTTATTTAGAGAATAGGATTTTATTACTTTTAAATTGGGAATTTTAATTTTATGAGCATATGTGAATACCGCGTTTGACAGGGCTCCACAGGGCTAGTTCATACCCTATATATATATATATATATATATATATATATATATATATATATATATATATATATATATATATATATATATATATATATATATATATATATATATAGCAGTAAAAAGGAAACGCAATGTTTTGACACTAATGTTAACCTCAGTTCAGTTTCAGTTTCAGAAGAAATCGAGAACATTATTTTGATTTTATAACTTATAGTGAGAAGATCAAAATGGAAATATTAAAGTTGTTTAAAAGTCAAGAAAATAATTTTTGTTCTACTATAAAAAATTTCTTATAATATTCTTTTTTTTTAATTTGGATGATAATATTGATAACAACTCAATTAATGGCATTTTAAATAAAAGTATTCATAATTTTTTAAAAAAGTTTTTTTCTTAAGTTTTTGCAGCATCATTTATTTTAATTACATTTAAACAAATACTTACAGAAATTCTATGAGTTACTTTGAGTTTTATTAATCTATTTTCAGTCCAAAACAGAAAGCAACAAAGTCTTATAACATCAGAAAAATCAAGAATATATAGCACTATGACATACATTAGTAACATGCAAAGAGCGATTGAGCCAAAAAATTGGAAACGTCTATTAAATCAACTGCAAAAAATACAAAATTCTTTCCAGTACTTTACAAACAAAAGTATCTGGTTTAAGCCTGAGACTAGACTTGTAGACCTGGACTTGCTCTTAGTTTACAAGGATACATCAAAGAAGCTTGTGAAACATATCCCATTGAAATGGCAAGAAGAGTATTTCCTTAGAAAATATTAAATTTATTACTAATAATTTCAAAAATAATACATAAAAACCTGCATTTTACTGTACTTACAAATGGAATCCCTTCTAGAACTTGGGCATCCAAATACCTTAAAACATCAGAGCATCACTTATTAAGAGTAGATCCAATGTCACAAAAGAATCTCTATTAGCATCAGACATGGGTCAATTACATGAGCTTTAATTACAATAAAAATTACAATTACTTTAAAGTTTGCCAATTACAATTACATGATTTTATATTTGGATCAAATAAAATACAATTACAAATGTGTCACATAATTTTAATTACAATTACAATTTCAATTACAATTACTGTTGGTAAGAAAACAGTTACAGCAAGTCACGTTTGCTGTGCTGCTTTATTTAATGCCAAAGTTATTGATATTAGAAAACAATCAGTATAAATTCTTGTTACATTTTATGAACATCAAAGTCTCAAATTCTCAAACAGAAATTGCAGAATAATTATAACATACTTATAGAAATATTACATAATCTGTATAATGTAGATTGTTTTAATAAACTATTTTTTCAATTTTGCAGAGTACACGTAATAATAGCTATAATTGCATGGTATTGTAATATTGTTTCACTTAAGTGAGTACAAAGGTTTGAATTTGCCTTTGTTGAGTATGAAACAAACTCTCCACATGTTTTGCATTTTATTTTTACATTGTCACCATTTGGTTTTGAGCTACCTTCATCAGTGATAGAACCAATTTCATAATATTTGAAAATTAAAGTTGCATCTGACTTTTATTAATTATAGCTTACATGTAAACATGTAGCTTTTCATTCATTATAGTTTACATGTAAACAGGAAAAGGATTTAATTAATATAAATTAAACAGATTCATGAAAAATAAACGTAATTGAAATATTTCAATTACACCAAGGCAATTACAATTACAGCTACACATGGGTCAATTACAATTACAATTACATGTAATTGGTTAAAGAAATAAATCAATTTTAATTACAATTACTTTATAAATTGTAATTAATTACAATTACAATTGTAATTGACCCATGTCTGATTAGCATTGTATTACAACTTTAAAAAAATTATTAAAGATCCATATCTTCAATTAAGATATGTGTTTCAGTAACCAGAACGTATTTTAGGTTTAGATGAGACTGCTTTTTGTTTAAATAAGATGTAAATTTATTGGTAAAAATCGTGAATGTTTATACTATACTGCTTGTAACCAAAATCCCACACACATACAGCAACCAGTTAATGGTGGCATAATAAACTCAATTTAAAGCTATTAGGCATGTGGAGTGCAGATTTACAGAATGAGCGACCCAGAAGCTGCCATTACAAATGACAAATTTTCTGCCATGGCAATAAAAGGCATTGTTCAAATAACTGCTCTAGTCACGAAAAAAAGCATTTGAGTGCAGCATTTTATACCCATTTAACCCAAATAAAGTTAATTTTAATAAGCTGCTTTCAACTTACCAACAAGCTCCACAGCCCGTTTTCACATTTGATGTTGCTAAGAAACTGGCATTAAAAGGCTTTGAGAAAAATTGACGGAAGCTGAACTTAAGCAGTTTAAAATATGGAACAAAGACAATACTAACAGTTCACAACACTGGTTCAGGCTTTATGAAATATGGAGAGATATGTTAGCAGAGGTAAAAGTACCACCAAAGACTTCCAATAGCAACTTCATTTTTTTACTTCATTATTTACAGCAACTTCTACAGTCATATACTTTGTTGTTACTCCAGTATTAAACAACAATCAGTCAATACTAAATTCAGAAAGTAAAATCAATGAAACTAAAACACAAGGTAATATTATTAAAATTTTTTATGA